ACCAAGTGAATACGGTACCTTCCCTGAAAAATGGCAGTTGTTAATGTCCAAAAGTTCCAAAGACTTGAAGTTCCCCAATGATTCTGGCAGCTGTCCAAAGAAATTTGTGTTTGCAAGGCTTAATTTCAAAAGAGGGTGATTGCTCTGAATATCAGGTAAATACCCAGTCAGATCCGGATTGGACTCCAGGCTGAGAAACTGAAGACTGGGTAACTCAAAAATTCTTGGGGGAAAATCACCATGCAAGTCACAATTTGATAAAATTAAAGCTTTCAATGAAGAAAAATTTGCTAAGATAGTAGGTACCGAAGAAGAAATTCTGACATCAGTAAGATAAAGCTCTTGAAGATTAGTTAAATTCTCAAGCAGAGACCTCAAGCCTGGCTTCCGGCGCTTCAATGAGTTCCCTGACAGATCAAGGAGCTCTAACTCTGTCAGCTGTAAGATCTCTGACGGTATTTGACCAGAGAAGTTGGAGTAAGAGAGGTCCAGAGATGCCAGTCTTGAGAGGTTCGTGATCTCAGAAGGAATTTTAGAATTTTTGAAGACATTGTCTGCGAGATTAAGCCACTGAAGGTGAACAAGATGGAAGAGGCTGCTTCTGGAATCGATTGAACCATAGAGATAACTACTTCCAAGGTCGAGGCCGATTACATGACCAGTGCTATTGTCACACTCGACCCCATCCCACAAGCAGCAGTCAGAACTTTCCCTCTCATGTTTCCACGATTCAGTTTTCGCATGGGCTTCAGGTCTGCTTGAGGCGGAGTTATTGATAACAAAGCTTTCCTTGAACTGCAACAGTGCTGAGCGTTCATCAGGGTGGCACAGTGGCTGTACTGAAGAAACAAGAAAAAGCAGTAAGAGCAAATTAAGCAAGCTCATTGAAATGGAGAGATACAAAAATGAGCCCATAATAATATCTCAATCGTTTATGTCCTCCCAACTCTTGGATGAGCAAACAAATGGGTACTGACTGAACCATTTATAGACAATCATCTACAATTGGTAAACACGGCGTCTTCCAAGCATAGCGGAGCAGTCGAAATGAAAATGTTGAGGTCTTCGTCGGTCAAGATTGAAGACTTAAACAGTGAAGTCTCCTCTTGAATTTATATTTATATTTTATATATTTAAGTAAAGATTCCAAAAGGCAACCTTCAGGAACCTACAGTTTACTCTGGAAAAAGCAAATACCGTTGATTATTTCTTTTTTTGGTAAACGATACCATCAATTTACTTGGATGGAACATGAAGAACCCATTCCACTAACATTTAACATTTCAATAGATAATGCAGAAGATAGACAGCTGAAATGAACGTGATTGCTGATGATCCATGAGCCTACCTTGGGATCATTCCAAAGTCTTCAACTTTTGCGTGTTTCACGGTGAAAGTAACAACTTTCTTTTATGCAAAAATAGTTTTACAGAGAATAGACTTAGTCAAGAAAACTTAATTATGTTGGGAATAAAAAAATCAACTTTTGCCTTTCAGTATGCAAAAGCCAGAGGTTCCACCTATGCATGAAGTCTCATACTTTATATATTTTTCTCCTAACTTTGATGATTCGAGGTGTAGAAAGGGCCATAGACAAAGAAAGATCGTTTTTTTTTTATCTGCTTTTTCCTTTTCTTATCTAAAAAGGTAGCAACGCATCTGCTTAATTATGTGGTGAGATTCGAATGGATAGAAATTAAACAGAATCTGAAAAAGCAAATGAATAGCGGAATGCGTGGATCCTGTGTTTGATAAGCCTTTGACATCAGCCGTGTAACGACCCATTCTATGGCTGGCACCCAAGCAGTGTCGGCAGTTCCACAGGACGGACAAACCTTTTATACGTAAACCTCTCAATAAACAGAATATTATTTTTAACTCAATGTTTATCATTCCATCTTTTCATATAAACGACAATTTTTATCCACAATAGAGAAGCAAGCTAAAAATAGCAATAAGAGATTTTGAATTTCAACAAAGAATAAATTCCAAATCTCCAACTTTTTGTTTTCACAACCCAAATTTTAATTTAAAAATATCCAAGGCCATGGCCCAAACTTTGAAATATTTTTACATGATACAACACTGGAAAACAACCGACATCTAGACAAAGGAGTGGCACAAGGATAATGCTATCAGACATCAATTACCTACGCAACGAGTTGAAATCTTTTTACCACGATTGCTCTCAAAAATTTACTTATTTGTCATTTACTGATTAGTTGGAATGAGTCTTTCATACTCAATGGGTGGACAAGAAGAAAAACAAGCATTAAGGTAAAATTTTTGATAAAAGCATAATGATAATATATACATATGATGAGATAAATTTTATACAGAGTTAATAAATTATGTGTAAATTAATAAAAAATACTTGCGTTTAAATCTTACTACTTTTTAATACTCATATAACGTATAAATTTCATACTCAATAAAATCAATCAACCATGGTAATCTTGAGTACAACAAATTCCAAAATATCATGTAAATAGATAATTCACAGTCTTGGTTTTCTCAAAGCAAAAGTAATAGTAATGTCATGCTCAATTAATTAAAATATGTTAGTTAGGGTATCTTTGTGTAGGTCTAGTATAGCCCTTATGCTCTCTTACGTAAATAACATCATCACTTACTCGTGGGACTCCCCACGCCACCTTCATACGTAGGGGTTTCTTGTCCTCATTAACACCTAATCGTAAAACCTCCCACATCACCAATAATAAGTCAGGTTTTTCATCCCCTTTATACCTACTTGTGGGAACTCCCTCATGTTACCAAGTATCAAGTTGGGACTTCACGTTCCCCTTATACCTACTTGTAGAAACTCTCCACTTCACCAAATATCTTAATACTCAAATATCAAATCATTAACTAGCTGGTACTTCGTTCACAAGGTCCACACAATCTGGTGTAGCACTATGGCCTATACCCATAAAGCTTACCCAAGAAAATAGTCCAAAGTAATTTCAAATATGTATAAACCATTTCAATCATGTGTTCAATAGGCAATGTGTGCATGTTTAAGTCATGAAAGCCGTAAGCAATACAGCAAGTTTCATCATAAAATCAAAGAGCATTAAAACAACAAATTCGCACATGAAAGTCAGTGAGCATGGCATTGTTAAAACATTTCACTCAAGCATCATAAAAATTGATCATGGTAGAATTTAAAATGTTCATGATCAGCCTCTCTAGCGCCTTTATATAAGAGTGTAATTCATAACAGTTTTGATAAATTAAAACAGAATAAAATCTCTTTATTTTGATAGGCTTGTTTCTTATTTTATAAAACGGTTCAATAATATAGTATGTTCACTAAATAGATTCACAACCAAGTTAAAAACCATTCATAAGTAACTAACAGCTCATGTTTCTCAATAACAATTCAAATATGTGAAGTATACACAAAGCATTCGATCTTTATTCAAAATAGTATGTGTGCCTGTATATATATATAGTCTAGGTTCAATGGAAGATTTCCCCAAATGGGTGGCTAAAAGTTAACATTGATGGGGCTGCTAAGAGTTGCCTCGATCCTCTTGGCATTGGGGGTGTGCTGAGGAATGATAAAGGTACGGTGAAAATGCTTTCTCGAAAACAAGGGGTTGGGGTGATGCCAATCTTGTAAAAATGTTAGCTATTTGAGAGGCTTTAATTATTTTTATGGTGGTAGATTGGCATCAACCGTTTGGGTTAATCATTGAAACTGATTCTTTAAATGCTATTAATTGAGTCTCAAAACCACTCTCTTCTCCCTGGTGCTTTAGAAAACTAAATTAAAAATCAAAGCTTTGCTGAACAAGATTCTTAAATGGTAGATTATTTATACCCCGAGATCTAAGAATAAATTGACAGACAACCTTGCCAAACTAGGGGTGAAAAGAGCCACAGACCTGTTGCAAGTTCTTCCTTAATTGTCATGTTATGCTTTTGTCTGCTTTGCTTGACTTCCTTATGGGGTTGATGACTGTTTTATGCTTCAAGATTCATGATTTGCATGTGCAAGGGTTTAATGTGGTCGTGGTTTCAGCCTTGCCGATAGTGGTCTTAGGTGCCTAGGGACCACCTTGATTGTGTGGAGAACAAGGGGTTTTGATCTTTGTAAATTTGAGAGTTTTGAATTTTGTTGTTCTGAATTTTTTGCTTGGTGCAGCAAGAGAAGGAAACAGGCGTGCTGGCTATGTTTCCTTGTCTTACTGACTTTTTCTTTGCCTTATATTTTGGGCTGGTGGGGACGTGTTGTCTAAAGAGCTATATGTAAATGCTATGGTGAATGGTTTAAAGGGCAAGGTATCTTTGTTTAGTATTTTTGTCTTCCAATATGTGATCAGAGGGTTAAGACTGTACTCTTTCCAATCTTTGACCCTCATCTGTTTGTATATGAACTTCCTTTTTTTATGAATGAACTCTAACTTTCAAATATATATATATATATATATATATACACAATTTCAAGATCCATATATATTTGAAAAAGGAATTGTCCGCTCACCTCTTTTGATGGGAATTCTCACCAATTTCTAAACCACATCCTTAGTTTAAGCTTGATTCGATCAAGGGCTCTAACAACATTCAAAACCACCACCAGGCGAGCCCTTCAAAGTTCAATGCCTCGGGTCAAAGTGTCAATGACCCGTAGCTTACTAACTTTCTTTGACAGCTGAGGCAGTAGCTCAAACAATCACTAGTGCATTATGCGAAGAAGCGCTATTGATGCCAAACCTATATGCACATTCGGCCAGCAATAACTATAGCAAGTAAATTTCAAATTTCATTCATTTCCTCACCTTCTAAGCTTCGCTAATCTACCCTTGGTACTAGGCCTCGATTAGATAGAATTTCCAGCAGCTTTTTCTTAGCACTAAGGTTCTAGTTCAACAGCTTCTAATCATCAACATCGCACTTTTTTTAGTACATTTCCAGTGTTGTATTATTGGATACATTCAGCCAACAAATATTTAATAATTGACTTACGTTTTAACTAACTAATTTCACCTTCACTATAACCAATTTACCAAGTCAATGAGGGCTTGTGTTAGGCCTCAGGTTGGACATCTTCCACAGAATTTCTTTTCACTCCTTCAAACCTTGCAACAATATTCACACATCACATTTGTAAATTCAAGCTATCAAAGTTTTTCTACTCAACCCGTGACTAACTTGCAAAGATAACTAAAAAATATCCATAATCATCTTACCTTGCTTGGTGATTAACTCATTCACAAATATAACTTTGAACTCTTCATTAATCCAAGATAAAAAATCTGCCATATGAAATTCAAATGCCATTAATTCTTTAAACTTACATTTTTAAGCCTAAATAGAAAAACCCTTACCTAACCTTGGATTCCCTGCCACCATTAACTACAAGTCTAAGTTAACAACTAACATCCATTTACTTTCATAAACCTCTATATATACCACATACAAGCATTACATAATGCATAAAGATCAGAACATGTCAAACTTATTTATTTCTTATATATACCACTCCACCAATTGCTATTTGAAGCATTCTCTTTACAATTCAGCTCAACTACGCTTAATACCCCTTTTTAACAATTTTTCTCATGCTCATGGTAATTTATTTTTAACTTAACCTACCTAAGTAAGCCATCTAAATAAATCCCATTTCCATTACAGAACATGACTAATAATTGTCCAACTGCATACGCAATCGCATTAACACACTCTAGCAATTTATTTTCTAGCCTCAATTCACCATTTCAACAATATAATTCAATTGTCCCTTACCTCAGAGAATCAAGATAACTTAGTTTCAAATCACAACTTCCAACTTACCAAATGAAAGTGAGCTGCAAACACAACAATAAAAGTTTGAACTAATTATCTTGATTCCAAACTATCCAACAAAATGCTTTCTCGTAACTCACTTACTATTGTTCTACCAAAGCTTCAATTGCCATTTCTATTTATTAAACTCCAACCGAGCTCTCCCTTCTAATTTACAATTTTCAAACTCCAACCGAGCTCTCCATTTAAACAAAAACGAACCTCCATCTTTGTTTTTCATCAAACCGAGCTTCCATCATTGCTTTCTTCATTTCTTCATCGTTCTTTTTTTGTTTTTTATCTTTTGATTACCACGGGCAATAGCCCATGGTTTAGTATTCTCTTTTTTGTTTTTTGTTTAGTATCGGGCGGATTGCGCAATGCTATATTCTCTCCTCTTTTGCATGCACGGGGCAATCTTTCCTTTCTCTTATATATATATATATACATACAAATAAAACATCAAATTTACATTCTATCAAAATATCATAATAATATTTAAATATATATAAAATATTTTTATTATACTTTATTTAATAACGACGAGTGCATCTCACCAATACTCCATTCTTTTAAAATTTCTCTTGCTCTCCTCATTTTGACTAAATCTAATTCTTCAAAATTAACCTGTAATATTTTACCAATTTAATCAACCTCTACCATTATTTTAATATTATTTTATTATTAAAATATTATTTTAATTTCATACTTTCTTCTTCACTTCCACCTGACTTTTCATAACATAAATAATCAAAATTCTCCTTAAATCTCAAGTAATATCCTAGCTTAATTAACATCAGATACGGGATGTTACAAGTTGGATCAATTAATAAGATTTTTTAAAAATGTACATAACACAAATATTACTATTATTTTATAAATGGATAATATATTTTTACCAATTAAATTATTAATATAAAATTTGTTTTAATAGTTTAATTTTTAGATTGAGATCTACATAAACCTTTTAACATTTTTGTAGTACCTTAAAACTCTAGTCACTTTAAATCTTCAATTATCAAATAATTTGTTTCCTAACCGAAAATTATTACGATACATATAAAATTACTATGATATTTAGATTTTTAAGACTTGGGATGGATACCTCCTTTATGTCCCTTCATCCAATATAGGCTTTGTTATTGGGTTTTTATTTTTTAAAAAAATAAAAATAACAAAAACATCAATCAAACTAAATTAAGAAGTTGATTATTTTAGTATAAGACATGATAAACGATCAGCAATTTCAGTTAGTTTCTAGTTCAACCTTTTTCGGTATTGATGTTATTTTGTCCAATTCAATGTTCAGTACTACTCTCCCCATCTCTCAATTTTTTTTGTTCATTGAGTTTGGTGCAGGGATGGAGTAATCCTAATGTCAATTTTAATTAAAGTAGCCAAAATTTTTCGCTTTGATGTATTTTGCATCTATTGAAATTGAATGAAGTATGATATATATGGTATCTTTTATAACTATTGAAAAGCACAAAGATATAATTAATAATAGTATACAACAATAGCGACTTACTTTATAAAGTAATAGCGTATAATATGTAGGTTTATGTTATTTTCTGTGGGTCTCATGATTCAATTTTACCAAAGGTTGAAAAAAGAAAAAAAAAAAGCTAGGCTTGGTTTTGAAGTTGGTGATGATTTGAGGGATCTTTGAAGTCCCCAGCAAACTAGGCAAGGTCGTCCACAACCACAAACAAAAGAGAATCATCCTTTATTAGATTGCAAAGATAAGTTTTGTTTGAGATGTTTTGAAATTGTGTCAGGAACTGAAATTAATTTTGGAAAATCAAGTGAGTCTCCAATCGGAATTGACCAGCAATGTGGAAGAGAAATGACGAATTTTCTTCGGTGTAGCATGGGGTTTGTTTCTTCTATACATTTGGGGGTCCCTTTGGTGAGGCTAAACTGAAGTAGAATTTGGAGAGCCATTGCAGTCACCATCCTTTGATACCTACCATATATGAAAAGTTGAGACGAGAATGATATGAAACCATCGTACTCTCACTTTGACAAATTGTACCCCAGTAAAACAATTCACCTAATCAAAATTATATATGTAAGAGTGTTTTTATCTGAAAAGTGGTGAAAATGCTTCTTCTTTTTTTAATTCATGTAATTAAACTGGGTATTTTGCAAAGAATGCAAAATTAATTATTTACTTTAGCATAAGACGACATAATCTCCTACTGATTGGGCGGTATACAATATGTGGCCCTCGTGATCTAATAATCAAGTAGACACAAGATGGTCTCTGATAGAACAGAGCTTGGCAGCTACATCCCGCATGTCCATTCGCTCAGTTGGGGATTCAGCAGAACAAGTGACTCCTATTTCAAATATTGCATTCAAGTGTTGCAGAAGTCTGCCATTTGTCAGGCTGTTTTCAGGGTAACTGTCGTTTGTGATTGTTCCACCTTTGACTATTTCTCCAAGAAAAATGGGATTTAGAATTCCAGCCACTCGTTCCGGTAAAGCTGCCTTAACAAAGTTGTGAAGGCTCAATCCCTCCCTGAAAATTTCATCGGTGGGCCTTTTCCCGGTGAATATCTCTAACAAGAGGATGCCATAGCTATATACATCACCTTTTGTTGACACCTTGCTTCCCAATCCATATTCTGCAAATAATATCATCACAAATGATAGCAATAATTGTAAAAGAAATTCTTGAACAATGTATAAAGATAAACCTCCCACATCCCGAGAGATTAAATATTGCTGTTAGGCAATGTGTTTTATCTTGTTAAATGGAAACTACTTCAAAATTACTCTTTTGCTTTTGAATCATGTTGCAGTAGTAAGTGGAACGATTTTTGTAAAAATGATTATAAACTGGAAGAAAAGAATGAAGTGCACATAATTACCTGGTGGAGCGTAACCAATAGTTCCTCTTACTCCAAGGGAGCTTGACTGACTAGTAGAATAGATAGGCCTATCTGCTGAAAGGAATTTTGCTAAGCCAAAGTCACCTACATGGCCAACCATCTCATCATTGAGTAATATATTGCTTGGCTTGAGGTCACAGTGAACAATTGATGCTTCGCAATGATGATGGAGATATTCCAATGCATGAGCAATATCTACTGCCACATTTATACTTTGGAAAAGATTCAAGGTTTTCATTTTTTCCTGTTCGTTCCTGTCAACAGATGGATGCAGCCAATCCTCCAAGCTCCCATTTCCCATGAACTCATAAATCAATGCTTTAAAATCATTGCCCTGATAATCAACACCTGAACATGCTGTTAGTATCTTCACAAGATTTCGGTGTCTTATGTTTTTCAAGGCCTCACATTCAGCCATGAAACTCCTGGAAGCTCTAGTATTTGAAACATTAAGCACCTTAACTGCAATAAGTCCTCCATTCTCTTCAAGAATTCCTTTATAAACAGAACCAAAGCTACCTGCACCAACCAAATTTGCTGAGGAGAACCCATCAGTAGCCTTTAGGATACTTTGGTATGACAACTTTAACAAGGAATTTTCCACCCAGATTGGTGTAGGCTGCTCTTTTTTTCTTCTAAACCAGAAAAAGAAGAGAAAGCAGAGTACCAAACCCAACAGCCCTGAAACACTAGCAATTATTGATTTAAGAGCATTACTCCATCTCCTTTTGGACCTTTTCAAGTTACACCTGGGCAAGTGGAAGTCACGAGTGCCTCCACAGAGCTTTTTGTTTCCCTCTATGAATGTAGCACTTGTATTCTTAAAGACTCCTTCAATTGGCAGCGCACCTTCGAAATCATTGAAAGAAAGATTTAAATATTGTAATAATTCAAAACTCACAAGAAATTTTGGAATTTCACCAGAGAGATTGTTGGCAGATATGTCTAATGTTTTAAGACCTCTCAATGAACTTAAAGATGGAATACTCCCTTCGAAGGAATTTCCTTCCAAGTATAATTCCTCCAGTCGTACACAACCACCGAGATTGTTTGGAAGCACACCTGATAATCTGTTTAGAGAAACATCCAATACACCCAGATTTATCAGATTTCCTACTTCAACGGGAAGTACACCCGTTAAACTGTTTGAAGATAGCTCTAGAGAAATGGACAAGGATGTGAGTGCTATTACTTCAGGGGGTATAGAACCACTAAGGTTGTTGTTAGAAAGAACCAATCTAACCAAATTCTTGCACCTACCCAGATGTGAGGGAATGCTACCCTGAAGATTGTTACGACCTAAACCAAGTTCAGTTAACATCGTCAAATTTCCAAAAGAATGGGGAATAGCCCCAGAGAGAGAATTATAATAGGCATAAAATATCTTTAGCTTCTTAAGCCTCCCAATAACAAGGGGAATGGAACCTGATATTTGATTGCCCATCGCCGCTAGCACCTCCAAGTTGATGAGATTTCCAATCCCATCTGGAATTCTTCCCGATATTTCGTTTTGTTGTATAATTAAAAATGCGAGAGTGCTAGACAAATTGCTTATGCACTCGGGCAACATCCCTCCAAAGTTATTGCGACTTATATCCAGATACTTTAGTTTAGTAGCATTAGTTAAAGAGCAGAGAAAGTTCAGGTCAGTTCCTCCCCGAGTTCCAAAAAGGTTGTCATTGATTCTAAGTCCCGATAGTTTGTTCAGCTTTTCAAATAAAGTCAGGTTTCCACTAAGCGTGTTCTGCTGGAATTGAAGTTCTATGAGATTTGAGGCATTGGATATTGAAGCAGGGATTGGTCCAGTGATTAGGTTATCTCCGACGTCAAGCCATTCGATATGTGGCATAGTGATTCCTAAGTCCGAGGGAAGACTACCCTGAATCTGATTTATGCCAAAATAAAGAAATTTGATATTGGAGAGATTGAAAATTGAGGGAGGAATGGTGCCAGAAATTCCATTGTCAAACACGGCCAAATATGTAAGGTTTTTCAGTTGGCCAAGTGCTTCAGGTATAACCCCGCTCAATCTGTTGTAAGCGAGAGACATATACTCCAGAGACGAAAAGTTCCCTAAGGAAGGCGGGATAGTTCCTCTTAGATTATTTTTGCTTAAACTAAAGACTTTTAGCTTTGACAAGAGCCCCAACGCACCTGGTATTTGTCCAGCTAGCAGGTTGCCCCCAAAACTAAGTAATGTAAGCTCAGAACAACCAGACAAATTGGAAGGAATTTCACCTCCTATGGAGTTATTGAGCAGTCGTAAGATTTGCAGTCTTCGTAAACGACCAATTTCTTGAGGAACTTCATGATTGAAGCTGTTGTTTTGAAGATTTAACACCCTCAGAAAACTCAAATTTCCAATAAATGGCGATATGGAACCCACGAGTTTTAGAGACTGCAATTCCAGCTTGGTGACTCTCTGATGTTTGTGACCGCATGTAACACCATACCACCGGCAAAAGTGGATGGAATTGTTCCACAAATGCATAACCCCGAACTGATCACCTGTTATCTTGGACTTGAACTCTAATAGGGCTTGATGATCTGTGTCATTCCTACTGACCACAGAGGTTGCTAAACCAAGCATGTCAAGACATGAGAGGAGAATAACCATAACATAAACAGGAACAAGATAGCTAGATACCGCCAAATGCTTGCCTGATAGCTCCATCAAGCCAGATAAATCTCTGAACTGAGATTAGTTCTGTTTTCGACTGTGCTTGCTTTATCAACAAGAACCGAGTGCAAGATGCAGAAATTTTCAAAATCTGACTTCGTCCGGTATTGACTAAGCTTTCTGCAACCAATGAATGCAAGTTATGTGACCATTGAAAATATGCCACGTTAGAATGGTTTCATTGTGTGGTAAAGGAGATTGACGATTGTTGGCCCTTGTCATCGAAATATGGCCACATGATTGTTCTAATTGCGATCCTAATAATCACTTGGGCTTTAACGGTTGGCTTTCATTTATTGCCAAGGGGAAATTTGCACAATTCAACACAATTCCTTGGACAGATGTCATTACCCCAATTGCTGACAATTTTGGTCTCCGGACTATGTTACATCACCTTTGTGAAAACAAGGGTAAGTTGACTTGAACTTCTTCAGTTGTTGAACGTATGCTACCCTCATGGCGACTATTTCAAAGTGCCCTTTAATTACCACGGAAGCCTTAGTTTAAGCATGAACACTTGATGGGCTAAACTTGCTCCTTTCATTTGGGTCGCCAAAGGGACCATAACATGGATCAGGGGGACAATGCTTCCCACCTGGTTTGTTCTTATAGCATTCAAAATGTTGAGATATGTTTCCAGCAGTAAAGTAACCCAAAGTAGAATAAGTGGAATTAAAATTTAAAATGAAAGGATCTTCCTGATTAAAATATGTGTTCCTACCAAATTTTATATTTAAAAAGTTGAATTAGCTAAGGTAATCTTAAAAAAAAACAATATAAAATGTTAACAATTATATAAATAAATATAAATTTAATTAAATTGATTAACATTCTAAATATGTATACGGATATATCTATTCATATATTACACAAACACCATATGATTAATGTTTAAACATATCGAGTTAAATTTTTTTTACACAAAAAACTTATTTAAATAGGATTAATATGTATAAATGATTATCATTAAAGGATTAAACAAATCATATAATATGAATCGACACAATAACACAAATATTAAATAAATTAAACATATCATATGCACAATAAACGAGTTTGATTTGTTTAATAATATTCTGGTGTATAATAAACTAATGGTGTTGACAATTAACAAGCAACACTATTAACTTTAGTTTCCAGCCGGATAGCCTAGAGGAGTTGCACATCTGCTAGGAAAGTGGTGGTTTAAAGAACGGTTAAAAGGACAACAGTTATGTATCCAATATCAGCAATTTTAGGAAAACAAGGACATGCTCTGTTTACGGGGATGATGTGGCGTATAAAGGAAACTTGCAACCAAGAATAAATACAATTTCTGAAGACGAAGGAAGGGTTCCAGAAAATAGATTCGAGCAATTTAATCTTTATTTACGTTTTCTCTTAGTTTCCTAAGTTGTAGATAAGTCTTAATTACTAGTTCTTTCAATGTTGTAATTTGATCAAGATTAAGATTGCAAAGCTTTTGACCAGATTTAGCAAACTTCCCCATGTGCGGTAAGCGGGTCAGAGAGCCTTAAACCGTTCGTAACATGTAGATGCAACTCCAAGGCGGTGAATTATTGATTCAAGATACCTCTTTTTACCCGCCAAAACCCAGGGCAGTTAAGAAACAGTTTTACCCTTTTCTTTTTTTCCAATATGAAACGCAGAACCTCTTGAACATCTCTGTCAAAATCGACTGCTTGCATTCCCTCAAAAGTCTCTCAATGCCTGCAATCTATTTCCTTCTCTTCTTCCTCTTCATGGTCGCTTTTGATTTCGGGTTTGCTCAGTCCACATGGTCCCAGAATTACCCACATTATCGGCACTTGTTTTCAGGTTCTTTCTCCTTCATTGCTTCTTTCTTTGTAATCTAATGTTAACTGCACGCCACTTTTTTCATAATATTTTCCAATCTGTTTCTCTTCTATTATTTTCTGGGCTCTAATGAGTAACCTTGCTAATAAGCTAACTAATGCTATTGTCTTCTGTGTGTCTCTTTGTGTGTCAGGTGAAGCACGTTTCAGAAGTCCTAATAGGCTTTCAAAACCTCTAATCGGAGACAGTGGAAGAATTTATGCTTGTACCGAGAAGACGTTATTAGCATTTGAAAATAATGGTTCCATTGCTTGGTTGTTACCTTTGAGTTTCAGATGCAACATGTCTAAAGCCCCAGTTCATGGAGGTACAGGGAAGGTCAGGACTGAGCAATGTTATTTGCTACTTTAAATGGATTTTTTTTAAAAAATAAAAAATCTGAATGCAGTGATTTTTGATTTTGTCAGCAGATATATTTGATTGCAGAAAACAGAGTACTTAAAATCAACATTATGAAAATAGGAACTTCAGAACCCGCGATCCAAGTTTTCTTTGGTCCTGGACCCGGTCAGCAGGGAGGAGATGAAATTGTTGGGCTTGCTGTAAGCACATTGAGTTCATCTGTGTTTATCAATGTTAAAAATCGGGGTTTGTTTGCGTATATGATGCGGGGACAACTACTTTGGAGTGCGGGGCCTGTGGTAGATCAGTATGGCTACAAGCAAGGCTGCAGGAAAGATTTTTCAGATTGCTATTTTGCTTCGGTCCCTGTGATTGCTCAATGTGAGGCTAGTATCTATGTAAGGTCTGCTTTCCTTTCATTGCCCCATTAAGAATCTACAATAAATAAACTCATATTTTCGCTGGTAATTTCTATGAGGAAGGGTGGCATCTCTTAAGGTTGTACATGCCTCCTCGGATGATGTTTTCATGTTTTTGCGTCTGCAGATCTCTAATACTAAAGGGGAACTTTACTCTCTGTCGGTTCGTAGTCCTTACTTTAAATGGATTCAGGACTTAAGCTCATTTGATAAGGTTTATACTGTTACACCTGGAAATAATGGCCGCTTGTATGTTACTGTACCGGTTAAGTCTCTTATCCTGGCTCTAGACGTTTCTTCAGGAAATGTCCTCTGGCAGAAAAGTGTTGGGCCGTTAAGTACTGCAGAATCTTCACTATTGGTTGATTCTTATGGTCAAGTTTTTCCATCTTTACTTCCAAATTTAGCTTCTTGTGAATTTTCTACCTTTTAATTTCTCAGTCATATCTTTTCTGGTATCACAACACAGCACTGATACATAGCAGGACTGATGCCATCTTCCAAGATCTGTTTCACTTGTTAGACATTCTTTCTTTTCAAAATTCACTTGCATCACCCTTTGCATGTTACCGGGCGATCAAGATCTCCTGCCCATTTTTCTATGGTATCATTGTTCTGTTTGGTCCTGATTATCATGCAGCCATAATGTATATACCTGCTGTGGCCCTACTTCAGAATTCTGTTTTTTCTCATCATCTTATTGTTTTTAACTTGCTTGTTGAAAACAACAGGTTGGGTGACAATCGGTTCATTGGATGGATTCCTGTACTCATTCTCACCTACTGGGACTCTGAAGAAATTTCCAAAAGCAGCTGCATTAGATTATGTGATCCAATATAGTCCTTTCCTTGATTGCTCTGGCTATGCAGTATATTTTTGTCAGACAGAAATGGAGGGAAAAGTTATCCACACGAATGATCAATATACTCACGTCTCAGCAATGAAGCCAAAAAGTTCAGTCTTCACCCTGATGGTTCCAGCTACTGGCAAAATCTATTGGTCTGAAAGCCATCATGGTGATTTACATTTTTCTTTAACCATCATTATGTGGATTATGTAATTGATTTCTCCATTCTCATACACAAGTTCTGGCATACATATTCTCAGTGCTTTTTGTGGTTGATTCTATCAGGCCCGCTTTTGTCCTCATTGTCTACGAGTGATCTGCAGTACTTTGTACTGGATGAGGGCATGCTTCTTGCTTTTATCACTGCTTCGCGTGAGATACTTCAATCTAGTCTTATCCTACTTCCATGATTTATAGAATCAATATTGCCATGTGAATACATTATCTTCCATTTCAATATAGGGAAACTTGAATCATTTGATCAAACCACTACCATTTTCTCCAGAAAATCTGTGTTGAAAAGCAAGAAAATTTTCTATTGTACAAAACTATGTTGCCATCTATATTATCAGCATCTAGGCATTAAGTTGTCTGTAATGTCGCAGCACTATTCTGCAATCTACATGGAATATGTTTAGAGTCTCATAGATTGACCATAATCTTCCAAGAAAGTTTGAAGTCAATGCCTCTTTACTGTATAAACACAAGCCTATGACCAAAATTACTTAAACAAAAACACTCTAGTACTGTAATTAAGTTGTGATGTCAATAAACTTACATGCTGTTTTTGTGGTTGATGTAGAGACAGGCAACCCTCTACCTTGTCGCAGCAAGGGTAATTGATCTTATTTAACACCTTGTCAAGTTTTCTTTCTTCTTTAATTAGTACATGGACACATACTCTTAAATTGTCACCAGGTCTAAAGCTTGCATCTAGCTGCTCCCAAGGAACAAGCAAGCACCTCAATATCTACACAGGTAACTAGCAACTGAATTACTTCTAGAATCAAATGCACTGAAGTGTTAAGAAGGGCCAAATTGTCACTTCTCTTCCAGGTAATAAAAGGGCTGTACTAATCTTCCTTTTATTCGAGTCCCTACTCTTAGTAGTTTTAGCTGCACTCGTGCGGTTCTGTTGTGTCTTTTGGAGGAAAAGGAAGCTTCAAGATCAAGACCTTGGACGCTTTCTAGAAAAGCGAGTAAGTTCTAAGTTCCGTTCCTTGTTCTTGTCAGTCATTTTTACACAAGAAGGGGGAGTAGGAAAATTGGATAGATTGCCAGAAAATTACAGAGTGATATGTTTACAAAATAGAATAGAAAAGATAAAGATATACAGGTTGACAAGGTTATTGATTATGCCAAAAATAACCATCCCCTTGGTTGAAACCTATAAGTAGCATGTAAAAGAAGAATCCCAATGAAAAAGAAAAGTGGAACAGGTTTTTCATTCTCCATTGGACTTTCACATATTCGCCCTTTAATTGACAAATTATGAACTTAATGATATGTATACCAAATGTTTTGCCTCCGCGGCTTGCCTTCACGACTAGCCAATTTGGCCTTTCAGAGATCTCTCCAACTTAAGAAGAAAGCAATTGATAGGACAATTACAGTGTTTAAGCAGAAGGCAGCAGATGAAGCAGTGACCAATGAAGCAATAGAAAAACTTGGCGATTTGGTTCGCGGAAGGCAAGGCATTGAGAGAAAGCTCTCAACAACGTACAGCTTGGGCAGGGATGGAGAAGGGTCAAAGCCAAAATCTCTCCTTCCATTATATGGTGGAAGAACAAGAAGCTATTCTTTCCAAAGGGCAGAGAAAGAAAGTGTTACAATTTTCCACACTCTAAGCAATACATCTTCTGAAGAAAGCAGCACTGAGAGGGATATTAGTTCAGATTCTGAAGAAGAGGAGGAGCCAGTTGTCAAGGCCAAGGCAAAGACACCCATCGAACCTGAAAGTTCAAGTGATGACGAGCACCTTGGAGGAAAATATCAACGAAGTTCAGCAGAGCCAGCTTCCAGCTCTAAAGGGTACATGCATTCGCTTTCTGTGGAGCAAGAATCAGGGGAAGAAAAGTTGCATGACGAGGGAGTGATGGGGGAATCCATGAAAAGCAGTAGCAGAAGCATTTGGTTAAAGAGGAGAAGGACCTTGTCTTCATCTAACTAAAGACTAGATTTTTAGTAATTTTTAAAGTAAAATAACTAATTATAATTTTATTTTTATATGCTATTTAATTATCTTATTAAAATTTTTTGTAATTTTACTAGTATTGTTATTGGTGAACTTTGAGATATATATTTTTTTGTAATATAAATCTTTGAGATATTTTTGTGTATAGAAAAATGAAAATGGATAAATCATCGCCTGCCTCACTCTCTTTCAACGAGTTCAAGGTTATACTTTGGGATGCCATTAAAAGGTAAGGGACTTCAGAAACTCAGTAGGATACATGGAGTCTTCATCTCTGATGCCCGGTAAAGATTCAAACAAGGAATCACAGCTTAAGTAAGTTTTGAAATGATCGAAAGGCATGAAAACATGAATTAGAGTCATGGAATCATTGAAGGGAGTGACGATCGTCTTTGTTGCAAGGTTTCTATTTCTCTGAAATTAGCACTAAAGCCTGAATAAATAGCTCAGTAGAGAGTTGAAATGGGATCATCGGTTGCAGGAAGTAACAAATCATCCAGAATTTTGATGCCGTGTGCGTATCACCAATCTAAATCAGCCGCAATACTTTCCCCGCGAGCGTCACCCGCATCGAGAATCCTTTGAACAGGCCAACGGATGTCATGCCTTGCAGCTTCACCAAGAGTGAATCAGACCCAGCCCAAGCCGCAACCCCTGGAAACCCACAAAAAGCCCAAGACCATGAATAAAAAAGGACAGCTGTCACCTCCATACTTGTAAGATTAAAGATTGGGATGATTGGAAAATCCTCCAACTAAAGGAAGCGAGCGCCTTTAATTTTATTTTGTATTCTTTTTCCCGTTGAAAGTCTTTGCAGATTCGCCAGTCACTGATTCACCTTCTTCCTCATTCTCAAAGGTAAAAAAACCCTAAGCACCTCATTTCTTGCGTAGTTTTCCTTCTCTTTCTCATTTCCTTTGGCGAATTAAGATTAAGATTCTTTCCTCTCTCTTTCTCTTTTCCTCTGGGAAAATTAGATTAAGATTCTTTCCTTCAATTTTCTCTTCTTTTTCTAACTTAGAAAGAGATTTAGAAAATTAATCTTTAAGTAACTTTGGGTCTAGAAGGAATTTCATTCTTATTTCCTCACTACTCAAATTCTTGAATTAAAAGAAACAAAACATATTCAAACTTGATGTTAAGGAAACTTAAAGAGGTTTAGATTAGTTGAGATTAGGTATGGTTTAATGTCTTTGATCTTTGAACTGTTGCAGTAAGTCTTTCATTTTTGAAATATGCTTCTTTGTTTAAATTCGTTGAATGCCTTTGCCTGCGCCCAGGATCAAGCTTTTAGTTGTGTCTTGATTTTCTATTGAGTAGATTTGCCTAATACAGGTCTCTTGTCTTTTTTCTGTTAGTTAATTAGGTAAGGCACGGTTTAATTGTTGTTTTTTTCTACTTGCTGGATAAAAAATAAATGATGTTCTTCCAAGAATTAGAAATAGAGAATGCAATTTTTTTTTTTTTACTTTCGTGTGCAACAATTAAGTTAGAATTGGGTGCTGTGTTCTAGTTATTTGTTCATATTTTATCAATTATGCATTTGATTTCTAGTAACTTTTTAGGATGCAAAAACCAAGTAGTAGAAGCAACAATCAAAATTGGAGCCTAATGTAAATAATGTTGATGCTCTAAGATTTAATCTCTCTGTTTGTTTGTGATGGTAATTGGTAATGTGGTGATTAATTTGTAGTATGCTGATGGGGGGGTTGTTTTCTCATGCAGTAAGTATGGAAGGTCAGGGTATAATTAACCTTCCTGCTTCTAGCAATTCATCTGGAAGTGAGAGTGGTGAACTTCGTGATTTCGATGATGGACCTTGTCAAGTAGATTCTCAACCAAATAATGCTGAGACTAAATATGGTGAAGGAAAAGCGGAGAGGCTGGAGGTGAATGAAGGTGTTATTAAAAATCCTCAGAGCGATTTAATTGTGGAAACGGAGGTAGACAACACTCTTGTTGATGATTCATCTGACATGCAAATAAGTGATGAAATGACTGAAACTGTGAGAGTTGAAGAGACATTGGATGGCTTAAGCTTTGGAGCGCATTCTGCATCTTTTACAGCTGATGGGAAAATGGATGGCTTAAGCTCTTCAGTGCCTACTAAAAAGCGCCGTCTTGATGCCCAAAATGGAAGTCCCATCCAGAACAACATGATGGATGGTATTCGTATCCTGCTTCACAATTGTTATCCTGAGCTTTTCATTTTTTTTGTATTCGCCAAATCTAATGCAAGAGCTGTGCTTCTATAGTAGTATGTTCCATAAACTCAATTCTATATGAACAGAAATAAATATTCTCTGCAGCCTATGGTATGATGATTTTGTTTTTCATAATTCAATGTGCCAGCTATATCCGGTGTTAAGAGACCCCGGATGACATTTGATGACCAGCAACCTTCTGTTCATATTGTGTATAATTTCTTAACAAGGTTAGGGCTGGAGTAAGGGTTATTACTTCTGAAAACCAAAGACTTAAAAGCTTCACATTTTTTTTTTTCTTGAAGTTCTGTTTAACAGACAAGCATAGGAGTTCCTAAAATATAGAATGTTGCGGAACTGTTTTGCATTCTTATCAGTTATGTTCTTATTGCTATCCCCTTTCACCCTTTTCCAGAGCTAGTAAACAGAAGCTTGAGGAACTTTTGCAGAAGTGGTCAGAGTGGCAAGCTGAACATGGCACTTCATCCCCGGTAAGTCTGGTTAAATTTGTGGTTTTTTATAATTTTTGCCCCCATTTCTCTCAATAGTTAAAACTTCTGTCTACTGTAGAACTGAGGGTAGAGCATGGATTCATCTTTCTTTCTTAAATTCAATTAGATTAGCTTGCCTTGGATTATGATGCCCTTTCACCATATTGCATATTGTTTTTTTTTTCTTGAGGTATTCTGTCAATGAATGTTTGAGAACCTGTTGGCAATTTTTTATGTTTTACTACGCCTACATTTTAGACTGAATTAGGTATTGATGTGACCTTGTGGAGTTCATTTGGGGTATTGTGCCCCTCTAAGTGTAAGTGTGTTCATTTTTAAGATAGAACTTTTGAAGTTAATCATAATCGTGTCTTTCAAAGAGATGGAATATGTGAACCAGTGTTTCCTATAAATATCTGCTGGTTACCACTTTGCCTTTGCTTTTACCTCATTATCTTTTCTCACATAAATTTTATGACAAGTTTGGAGTCAATATATTCACAACAAGGAAAGAAGAATCGCATTATTTCACTCAAACAGATACGTAAACACCAATGTGCTGTCTTTCTGTGTTGAAAGATGGATGGATGTGTGCATAATTGTTTGATATGTGTATGTGTGTGTTTTGATGGATGGGTGTGTGTGCCATCAATGTATGCATGCAGGTGAATATGCATAGATGGATTGATGTATGCGCATGTTCACACAAAAGTGCATGTGTGCATGCATCCGGCATTCACATTGTTAATATAGTGCAGCCATTTTGTCCTTGACTTGAGTGCAACTGAATGTAATTCTACCTGTTCAGGATGAAAACGAACTTATAGAATCAGGAGAAGGGACGTACTTTCCTGCTTTACGTGTTGGTGCAGAGAAGCCCTCTACTGTGGTAAGCTTGTCTCTGGTTTTCTAGATTTTCAGTTTTGTGGACCAATGTTTGTATTTAGATTTTTGTAATTGGAATAGTTCTTATTATATATATATATATATATATTTGGACCTTTTAGTTTTCTTTCTTTAATGTCATTTACTATCTAGTTTTATGTAGTGTCTTCTTAATTGTCTAAATTCTTAGTTATGAGTAAAATATTTTCATTTTTCTTGGAGAAGGTAGTGTGTGTGATTATATACTCAGTGATTTTGACATTGCAACCCTTGCCATTCCTCCCTTAATATTTGTAGTCCAAAAATTGTGCACATTGCTGCTGCTTAAGGTCTACATTTTCTGTCCCTAAAAGGGCTGATGCGTTGTATGAGTGTGGATTGAATTTTTTCTGTGTTTAGGTTTGATTTTAATTTCTCTTTTGGGGTTTGTAGTCATTCTGGATAGACAACCAAACAAGGAATCCACATGGTACAGAGATCATCACATTGGATAGTAACATTGTGCCTCTTTATGATCGTGGATATTCAATGTGTTTGACTTCAGCAGATGGTTCAAGTAATTTGGAAGGGTAAATGCTCATCTGGGCTTTGATATGCAAATAATGTTTGCCATGTAAAAGGAAAATGATATGCAAATTTGTTATATGCATTGAGGACTCCATTGTATGCACTTTTTCATGACTGCTTTGTAGCTCGTAATAGCTCTTTCGATGTAGGATTAATTGTGTGCCTGCAAGTGATGCCTACAAATTCTTAGCGGAGGAAAAAAAAAAGGAATGCATACTAATTAATATTTTTTTCATTATTTGACTTATATATGCTCTGGTTAAATCTCATTGTTGCTTAATTGCATGTGCAATACTGACTTATTTATTAGTGTAGGCCTGCAGTTGTATTATGATCTGTGAGTGCCTCTGCATTTGTCAAATATGTGACAGTTTATTTGCTCTGATATATTGGATTTGAATATTAACCTTTTTAGCAAGTGTCTCTGTTTTTTATTAGGAATTTTGTCTTTTTTGAGTTATTGCAATATTGTCATGCTCAACTCATTGATCCTTTGTTTCTTTTTTCTTCTGGGGATCTTAATGGCATGACGATTCATTAAGAAAAAAATGGAGACTTGGTTTTCTGTAGATATATGTATATGTAATGTTTACCCCTGACATCTTAAATGTTCTATGTTTTTTTAACTTTGTGTCTTGCATCTTGTAGAGGCTTGGAGATACAAGATGATGCTTCCCGTTGTTTCAACTGTGGTTCTTATAGTCATTCCCTGAAGCAATGCCCGAAGCCTCGTGACAATCTTGCTGTCAATGCTGCTCGAAAGCAGCACTATAAGTCTAAACGAAATCAGAACACTGGTTCTCGCAATGCAATTCGATATTACCAGAGCTCTCAAGGTGGAAAGTATGACGATCTAAAGCCAGGTGTTCTTAGTGCTGATACACGACAATTATTGGGCCTTGGGGTAATATGCTTCTTCAATTCCATGATAACCATGTTCCTGCCCCTGTCTTTTTTGTGGCATTTTATGATAATGCAACCAAATATTACAAGGAAAACGACAAAGATTTTGTGTACAATGCTAAAGTTCCCAGTCATCATACATTTGACAACTTGAGGCCTTTAAATAACCAGCATCCAGTTCCAAAAGTTCTTGATGTTTTCTGTTTCATCATTTCTGTTGGGGATTCTTCCAACATCTTTTTATATACTAAAAAAAGGGGGCTTATCAAGGCACTTTCAGTTTTTTTTTTTTTTCTGAAAAACCCCTCATTATGCTATTAGCATTAATAACAAGCATGTCTTCTTCACTGCTAGATGCTAAATAGATAGCTAAGGAACATATTCACCTTTAATTGTCTTAGTTAATGGGCATGGACAATTGACTTATTCACCTTCAGAAGCTGTAGGAATTCTAGTCATGTTTAAGTGTTTGAAGTTTGGTTTGGCCTTTCATAGATATCAAATTGAACTGATATAGAACCAGTCTTTTATGAAGATTCTGCCCAACACTGGTGTGGGCTGTGTATCATTTTGATCAACCTTTTGATTCTGTTTTCCTCTCCAAACTGAACGTTTGTGTTTTGAACATACTAACCAAATGCATAGAAAATAAATTGTGAAATTTTGTGTCATTTATTTTAATCATTAAAATCATCACAATGCTTAATGAAATGCAGAGTTATTGAGGCATAACCTTCAAAAAGTTGCATAAGCTTGAATTTGCAAATTTTTTCAATTTTTCCTCTTCTGCAAAATATGTCTGCTTGAGTGTTGATTCACTTAACGGTTGCAGTATTTGTATAGTAGTTACTAAGTTTTCAAATGAATTGTTCGGTTTCATTTTTTTTTTTTTTTCTCCCATACATTTGTCAACAAGAAGTCAGCTTCTCGATTTTCAGGTATTTTAGGGACATATCATCTCACTTCTTTCCTTTCCTATCTCTTTTGTTGATTTAATGGAAAGCAGATGTCTTTCTGGCTAAAGATGGAGGAAATTATCTTTTCTACCCGTCTGTATATTTAATTCAGTATTAGTGACTCTTTTTAAGTTGTTATCTGTTTTGCCCTTAAAATTTTTACTTATATGCTTTCGCAGGAGTTTGATCCACCGCCTTGGCTTAACAGAATGCGAGAAATTGGGTACCCACCAGGATATCTAGGTAACTAGATACATCACATCTATAGACATAATCTTTATTTATGGTTAGAGTGTTGAAGCGTTGTTGGTAAATATTCAATAATCTGAAGAAATTTCAATCTGCTGTCTGGTGAAGGGCCTTGCCAATTGTCCCACCTTATTTGCCCCAACTATTTGCACCATCTGATGTCGGAATAGCTACTGGACACATCCATGGTGTGGCCTACCAATTCATGAATATATGTGAGGGTTTTGACTAATAAATTTTTACTGGTTAATTGCAGCAAATAGTTGGAACAGTAAATCCTAACGGCTCCACGTGTTATGCATCAACAAAGTAAAAAATAGAAGCAAAGTATTCTGTTGATGTAAAAAAGACACGAAGGAAACAAATCCTATTGACTTCCGGGCCAATTAAAAATGGCTTATCTTTTTAGCTTTAAATTTTTGACTATTTTCTAATCTCAAACCACTGTTTCTAGATAGAATTATTGTATGCTAGTCAGTCCTAATTGTTTGTGTTAGCAGCTTAAACATTGCCGAAATTTGACTTGTCATTTGTTATTCTCTCATGCTATTTTACAAATTGACTATTTGCAAACATGTTCAGCTCCCGATGATGAGGATCAGCCATCAGGAATTACAATTTATGCTGATGGAGAAACCAATGAAGAACAGGAAGATGGGGAAATTACTGAAGTCGTGCATGGTGAGCCAGAGAAGAAAATGACTGTTGAATTTCCAGGAATAAATGCACCAATCCCTGTAGAGGCAGATGAAAAACTTTGGGCACCTGGTTCTTCAAGTTCTGAATCATCTAGGAGTAGGTCACACCATAGATTACACCATTCTTCTGAACCTGGCAGCAGAGGGCATCATCATGAGAGAAGGTATTTGGGGGATTTTGAAGATGAAGGGCCTCCAGGGGTTGATTCTAGATTTAGCTCATCTTATCCCCCAAGGTATGGTAATTATGATTCTCCTCACAGTTTTCACAGTCCAAGAGATCCTATTCCAAGGCCACGAAGCCCAACCTTGGGAAGGTCCTATTCTGACAGGGGTAGGAGTCCTTTGGTATATGAAGATTTTGCTAGTCATGGTTCCTATAGTGCCACACACTACTCATTGTCAGATAGGCGAACTTCACCAAGAATTCATGGCTCAGCCAGATTTGAAAGTGAGATTGATGAAAGATGGGAGAACAGCTACCCTGATTATTCATCTCGGTCAAACAGTCACCGAAATCGCAGCAGGTGGTGAATGGCATTGTTGTAACTTTTGTATTTGTCATCAGATTTTATCATTGCTTAGTATTTACTTGCCCCATGAGGCCATGACTCCCTTCTTTAGGACGGTGCGCTACTGTTGGTTGTAGCCTAACTTGTAAAGATTTCTGAAACAGATGATGTATACATGTGATTTCATGGCACCAGATGGGGTGGGGTCCTTGTACAATAAGTTAGATAGGCCTCAGAAGAATTTAAAGGATTTCTTTTGCTTAGATGTATCCAATGTCATTCTCCAGTTATCTTTTATCCCTTGTTTTCCTTCTCGTTTAAGGTTCAGTTTCTGATATGTGATTTTGAGATTTCTTCTTTATGCATGAGGGGCAAGACCCAGTGCAAAACTGTGCCCTTTGGAGGAGTTTTGAATCCTCTGGGAAACAAGGGAAGCGTTCGGCCAAGTTGATGTTCTTGTCGATGAACAAACAATGGTGTGGTGTATTCTTGAGCTGGTTCAAATCTATGAATTCACAAGCCAAGTGAAGATATAGCAGAAACGTGAGGAGATGAAAATGAAAAAGAAATACCATGAACCGAACCAAGGAACCATTCGTGCTAGTTGGATTTTGGGGTTTAACTCCATTCTTCAATTGAAGTTGTAAGGCTTTTATTATAGTTGTATAACTGTGGTGAAAATTGGAGGGAACAAAGGAAATGAATTTATACAAGGTACATGTAAGGAAACCGTTATTTTAGATCTGCTATTAGTCGACCATATCAAGAATGTTTTTTCCTTATAAGAAACATGTACCTATCATCTGTTGGCAATGTAAGTAGAGTTCCCAGGATATTTTTCTTAAGACAAAAATAAATATAATATATTTGAATCAAAATAACACGTAAAAATCACTTAATAAAATTAAAATAATAATTTTAAAAAAGTCTTCAAATGTCGTACCAATAGGATTTTAATTGATTAGTATCACATTTTCATATTTGATTTAAAATATTGTCATAAAGATATCTTTTTCATGGAACTGACCTACCCATAATCAATGCAAATGCGATTCCTATTAAAAGTAGATCAAAGAAAGTTACAATTATTTTTCTTCTTAATTTAGCCTTACTCCTACCATTCATGCATACTTTTTTTTTTCTTTTTCATTATTTGCATACAGAATTATCACCACTACTAGTTAAGAAGAAATTGTTTATAAAAAAAATAAAATACTACAACTAATATTACTAAAAGCATTTACTATTTATTTTTAAAAAATAAAAGCAAAAACTCATTAACCAAAGCTGTTCAATGACCAAAAAACATCAGAAAGCTCTTTGGATAATGTTTTTTATTATTCTTGTAAAAATTCCAAGCATTATTATAAAAAATAATTATTTTTTTAATAGTTCTAGACATTACTGCAAAAAAAAATAAAAATTTAGTAACTTCACATAATTAAAAATTGAAGTAATTAATATTCAAATATTAAGTTATTTTTTTCATGTTATAATTTATTATTTTAAGAGAAAAAAATTTGAAAACGTAAAAATTTTATATTAAATTTGTACAATTCATTGAAAAAAATCTATTATTAATGAATTAATAATAGTAATAATTCAGGCCCAAATTGGACTAATAGCGAAACGGAAAGCCCATATTGGGCGGAGTCGCCAGATAGGAAGACATTCCCCTCCTATATATAAACTTTACCTCAGTCAAAAATTCACATCACCCACCCAAGGAAATTTTTTCTCTCTCTGTGGCCCCACTCCAACCTTGGATTGCGAAAGTCGAGGAGAGCGAGAGAAACACCCAAAAAACAACTGACCAAAAACAAAAAAAAAGTAAACTCAACAAATAAACAGGTCAACCTCTTTTCTCTCTCTCTCTCTCTTTCCTTTTTTTTTTTTAATTATTTTAGTTCATTAGGGTTAGGGTTTTAGAGTTTTTTGCTTCCCCCGCCAAAAAAATCGTACGATTAATTTATTATCCAATCAGTTTCTAAATAAAAGATAAAACAAGCTGTTGATTTTGAAAACTGTGTTATGTTTTTATATTGTCATGTTTTTGCGTGCGTGTGTTTCGTCGTTAATCTGTGTTTTCTGTTTGGTTTTTTGTTTATTGGGTTTGGTTACTGTTCTGTTTTCTTTCGGGGGTTCTTGAAACTGCAGAGACGCTGTCGCATGTCTCCATGTGAAACCCCGGCTTAAAAAGTACTATTAAATATAATAATAATAACAAAAAGAAGAAGACGAAGACGAAGGAAATCGAAGCTAAAAAACCCTAACTCCCAAATGGAATCTGGACGAATCGAATTTTAGCGTTGATTAATAAATTCTCTAGGGTTTTGTGTGTAAATAAGCTTCTTTTTCAAGAGAAAAAAAATAAAAATTTCAATCTGGTTCGATGTTTTGTAAATCGAGTTTATTCAGATTCTTTTGGACCATTGAAGTTATGTTACGAGGAATTTTGACATAATGCTGGACTATTTTATTGAAAAAACCTTGGATTGCAAGCTGGTAAATTGAATTTCCTCATGAATTAATTATACAAGAGAGTGTTCTTTTTTTTTTTGGGGGGGGGGGGGGTGGAGGGGTGGGGTGGGGTGTGTGTTGGTGGTGGGTTGGGATAGGTAAGTAGAAAGTTTAACTGTAATTGAGAATTTGAGTTGTAATCAGGAGAATTATTTTGCTTTTGTGTCAGGTATAACAGTTTTGCAATGTAGTTTAATCTGTGATTGAATTGATATTAGAAGCAGAAGATAAAGCTTTGTAATGAAATTGTTTTAGTATGAAGAGTAGTTTGTGTTAGAACAGGGAAAATGGGTTGTTGAATATGAGTTGATTGATCCTATTTTGGACTTCTTTTCCCATTTTTTTCTCCCTCTTCTCAAAGGACTGTTTAACTTTGTCAAGTTTATTTAGTAGTATTTATCCACAGAAAATCATTCTGCTTGGTTTTCTTAGTCAAGTTACTTAATGATTGCAGAACTAAGGTTGCTTGAATTTTATTGTTAAATGTTTCTAGGAGTACATGAACCAGCAGACTTTGGAGTACCCTTTCAACGTTCTTAATGTAAATCCTACTCCCTCGTTCATGCCCAGCAGAATGTGATTCCAACTTCGGGCTTGTGCAAGATGGCAACTTAGCCATTCCTGATGCTTAAAAGCTTATCTAATCCTACTACCTCATTCATGCCCAACAGTATGATGATGCCAACTTCCGGTTTGGTACAAGAGGGCAAATACCTACCTGGTGGACTTTTTTATCAAAATCAGTTAATATGATGAACTATAAAGAGATTGATGATCCCTAATCAATTTGGCTTCGTAAAAGGTTAACTGTCAGCTCTGACAAATTATTGCTTTGTTGAATAACTAATGATTTCCATTTATAAACTGAATATCTGAACTTTGATAATATTCTTCTCCAGACTTCTGTGGTGATAGACACAAGGCACAAACTGCTGGGTACACCACTTCTGATTGGAATAATGCGTCAACCTTGGGTATGCTGCAGGTTGAAGGTGAGATGGTCCGTTCCTCAGAACAGGCCTCAACCATCACTAGTTGTTATGGTGGGGATGGCTTTTCTGATGTCGGATATCTTGAAAGTAGGCCACCCTTTTCAAAGGGAAAATTACTACGTCTTTATGATGGTATGTTTCTGGACTGCTAAGACTAAGATCACCACATCTTTATGTTTTTGTTTAGGCAGAATTGACTTGTTTCTACTTTCTATTTCTGTCCATAAAATATTGTTCATTCAATATTTGGCTGCAATGTGCTATTTTTCTTAATCATGGTCTCAAAGTTTGAATATTCACTCCGTATTTGTTCATTCTTTGGACATTTTTCCCTATGCTTCTTTTGTTCTCTCTACCTTTTAACTTATGTATGGTTTTTGCCCATTTGAATTGTATCAGGCAAAACAAATATGATGGATCACATAGGCTGGTTGGGGAATAATCAGAGCTCTGGTTCCATGGTTTTCCCACATATACTAGGAGGATCCTTGGCATTTTCTGAAGCAAATTCACAGACCTCACAGGAAATTTTACAGAAACTTTCTGAAGTGCCTGATATATTGCCTGGTCTGAACTCAGGCATGGCTAGTTCAACTATTATTCCGTACATGCAGTCTTCTAGACCATCTGAGGCTGAAGCAAAATGTTCTTTCACTGGAAAAATTCAATCTTACTGTCCAGTAGAGGCAAAAACTGCTGGTCATTTTCCTCAGCTCCCTTTAGAAGATTCACAGGCAGATTCAAGGAATCAATTGACATGGGCTATCCAGCATAGGGTTTTACTTGCTTATATCCAGTACAAGAAATCAATGGTGATTATAGGCAATTCTCAAGTTTCTTTCGTGAACCATATGCATCTCTAACGTCAACAAACATGCATGTAAATGTGAACAATTTTTCTCACTTGTATCACATTTTGATGGCTGTCATGATGCTGATTGTAATATTGCATCCGTCGTTTGGTATAGTTGTGTCACCAATAAACCTCACCCTGAGTTTGAACGTGTAAAAAGAGGTCTTTTAAGGGATGGAGATTCTGACCAGCCCAGCTGTGGTATTTCAGAAACCATGCAACCTTCTTTGAAGCGTTTGAAGGTAGAAAATCCTCTTTGTCCTAGCTTGACTGAGAATGGTCTATGTTGTGCAAAGGCTCCATTGAAGGTTCAACCATGTTATCCCAAGCTTCCACCCTTGCGGCAGTTGCCAGAATCTCCTGTATCTAATAATTCTGAGGTTATGGAGGTGAACATGGAATTGCTACCAAAGCTTATAGAAGCTTCTATGAGCACTAAAGATAGTAGTAATAATGTCGCAGATAATTTTCCTATATTGCCTACTGAGAATTTGCCAGGGTGCTTCAGAAGTGGTTTTCTGCAGTTATAAATTGAAGGCAACAGATTCTGTTGGCAGTGATAAAGAAGAGTGTATGGACTTCAGAAGTGATACTGATATTGCAGACAATGTAATAGATCACTCCAACATTTTGGAATCCAATACTTTGCCCAGCTTCTCTGAAGGACTTGCTGCTGGTTATGAAGAGGGAGAAACAGAAGCCAGGACAAATTCCAACCTGGCAGAGCTAGCAATAGAGAATGAGCTCATTACACAAGAATCAAATTGCAGAAAGGAACTTGCTGCTGGTTGTGAAGAGGGAGAAACAGAAGCCACAACTAATTCCAACCAGGCAGAGCTAGCTATAGAGAATGAGCTCATTGCAAAGGAATCAAATTGTGGAAAGGAACTTGATGCTGGTTGTGAAGATGGAGAAACAGAAGCCAAGACTAA